AATTCAAAAAACAAACAAGCACATGTTATTCTATATTGTGCATTTTCACGTAAAAGTATGGTGGAGCTCTACTGAATTGGTAAGCTAAATCCTTAGTGTTTTTTGCGAGGGAAAAAAAACTTGTATACGCAACTCAGTACAAAAAAAAATTAACAAATCTCGTAATTTTTATTATTTATTTCTTCAGAAAATAGAAGTCCTCACTTTATAATCTAGAATCGAAACCCGACAATGACGACCATACGTAAAACTATACACGAAAAACTTTCATTTTGTGATTATTTTATATCTTAATGGTTTAAAGTTGAGGTTCTGGGCAAACGGAAAACAATGTAGTGAGTAAATATAACCTACTTCTACGCTTTAGCGGCTCAATGTAGGTTGTTTCTATAAAGATTTATATAATCTTTAGAGCGATGAGTTGTCAGCCAGAATGTGAACTTACAGGTAGTCATGTATGACAGAAAGTTTATAGAATATGCAAACTAGCGCACGTGTTTTACACAGCAGTTAATGTTCTTCGAATGTCACATTCGGTCTACTAAGAAGTGGGTTAATTGATAGTTAAACAACGTTATGATTACTGCAACCTATTAGTTAGACATCTTTAAACAATCCATCGGAGTTTTGGACTGGTTAGTTTGCTTCCCTATGCAACTACTGGATTTACTGCAATTCTATTACTGTACATGTGCTTTAAATAACCAAATACAACGCTCATTTAACTCGCTCAGTGAAAACTTATTCTTCCCTCCGTACACCTCCCCCCCCACCAGAAAAAAAATCAATCAATGTGAAAAAGGTAGATAAAACATTCTAGTTTTGCTAGCAATATATATAATGTACAAAATACACTAGAAATTTGTCTCTGTTTAAAATAAATACCTTTCCATTGTTGAGGATATTGATAAACAACCGAAGACCATTATTAGTTTCTATAACCATGTTGTTGTGAAGGGTTTGTGGGTCGTACGAAAGGCCTATAATATGGGTTAGAAGTACACGGTGCAGTAACTGTGGGTTATTCCTGAGTTCCTCCAAAACTCCATCAGGAAGGTTAGCAAAGGCATCGTCAGTTGGAACGAGCACAGTAAAAGGACCTACCAATAGAAATTCATAATATACATTAAATGTTCTAAAAAAGAAAAAAGCATCCAAATATCTCGAAATGGTATTATTGAATTTTTCTAAATAATTTGCGCCAGAATCAGTTTTATAATTCATTAAAACGTTTACAAAAATTAAATCTAAATTAAAAGTCTCGTACCTTTTTGGCTTAACAGTTCAACTAGATCTGAAGTCTGAAGCAGCTCGTAAAATATGTTCAAACTAATTGGTTGACCTTGGACATTAAGACCAGGCATCTTGATTACTTCAAGGATTTCATTTCTTGCTGGAGAAGGAGACCCTTCAACGGTTTCCAGTCTTGGTAAAGAAGGTACTGGATCACCTTGCTGGAGAATTGATGTTTGTATCTTATCAGAAGGTGGTACTCTAGGGGTACTTCCAAAAGGAGGAATTTCTTGGATCGGCGGACTCTGCGGGTGTCCTTGTGAAACATCTTCACCAGATGGAGGACTCTGGACTTCATGAGGGAGACACTGACAGTCTTTTAAAACTTCGCTGGGCAGTAACACGCGGTTGATAATATGGATAACGCCGTTTAACACTGCAAAATCTGGTTCAACGATCGGAATACTATTCACCAGCATAAGTCCTGTCAACAGAAATATTGTTTGAACTCATATGAAATTCCAAACAAAAGTTATATGATTTCAACAGACGAGCTCTCAGAATCTTAACTGATGAATGGCATTATCCTTGAAAATTCTTCCGTTTTTATTTCTCAACAGGCTAACGTGGCTCAAAGATGTAATGTAATCAACCTTTGAAATACTTCCGTTTTTGTCTTTTAACACACTAACGTGACTTAAAGATGTAATGTAACCACCCTTGGAAATACTTCGGTTTTGTCTTTTAAATGACTAACGTGACTCAAAGATGTAGTGTAACCACCCTTAGAAATACTTCCGTTTTTGTCTTTTAACAGACTAACGTGACTTAAACGTATAATGTAACCACCCTTCAAAATATTTCCGTTTTGTCTTTTAACAGACTAATGTCACTCAAAGATGTAGTGTAACCACCCTTGGAAATACTTCCGTTTTTGTCTTTCAACAGATTAAAGTGACTCAAAGGTGTATATTTAAACTGAATTAGTTAATTATGGACAGAATTGATTTTAAGTAAATATAAAACTTTTCAAAAAGTAAGTAAATGTAGAGATGACTAATATCAATAATTCAAAAACAATGAAAGCAAGATGGTAGGGATGACATTTGCATCATCCCTACATAATATCACAGGCACATAGTGTAGTAAAATGTTAACACACAAAAATATGATAAATTAAACTCACTTGTGATTGAATTGTTATGTATATTGCAATATGTTAATTCTTTCCTGTGCTATTATGTGTGTGTATGATACAAATGCTATCCCTACTATTTTGTTTGCACTGTGTTTGAAGGATTGATATTAGCCATCCCTACATTTACTTCCCTTTTCGAAAAGTTTTCTTTACTTGTTTATTTGTTTTTTTTATGCAAATTCAATAGACATAGGAAGATTGTATTTATAACCAAATTCTAAATACAATAAGGTTCCAACTGCAGTATTTGCTGTTTATCTATTATTGGCTAGTATTTTCTGTTTCACCTTGTACTTAAGCTTTTTAAAGGAATACCAAATTTCTGTAAGTAAGCTAACCTCAAGGAGTGATCATAACATCGTTAACACTAGAATTATGATTTTTTAAATTACTACTAGTTATTAATAATACTTATAAAAACGGATACTCCGTTTAAAACTATGCCACCTCAGGGAAATTGGTTGACACCATTGTTTTGGTTTTTCAGTTATCATGTAATAAAAAACAAGCAGAAGAAAGAAGAACAAGAAATTCAAACTTTTTTGTTATGATACTTACAGCCATTCCCAGAACTTGTGACTCAATAATTACATAGATATTGTTATAAAAGGAAACACTGCGCAGTATTGTAAAGTTCTGATGACCTATTGAGTAGATATTTAAAATACCATTTCGATGAACAATCCGAGCCATCCCTACATAGGTAGTGCTACCACCTGCCTGGTAAAAGCTTTAACGCCCTGTGATTTCCCTAAGTTCACACTCATTGAAATGCCTTTAAGAAACTGAAAATTGTGATTAAATTCACTTCAACGACACTTTGAGAGACCCTTGATGAAATTAGTTTATATTATTTAAGCAGTGAAATTCTGTTCGATCCCTACCTCTGCGATCTTGGAAAGTTAATGGAGCGCCTCCTATCGATATCAACGTCAGACCATCATTCAACGCCACGCTGTAATACGTTCCTTTAAGCACGTGGTTCAGAAGAACCTCTATCAAAGAAAAATAAAAGTTAAATGATCTTGATATCATATCTTTTGCAATAAATAGTTTGTATTCTTGCAATTAGAAGTTTGATGACTTTGCTCTCAACATCTGACTGTGTCTAGCAGACTCTCACAAACTGACTATACCATCACTGTAGTGTTTAGTATATATATATATATATCAGCATTGCAGTACTTATGAATGGGCATCAAAACGATTAACACACACACATATATATATACATACATACATATATCAGTAATTGAAACTCAAGACTGTCCCGATCTTTCTTAAAACAACTATGATGTTTTGTAAACAGTTCGCTATATAATACCATTGTGAATGAAGTAACTTATCTATTTAAAGCAAACATCGTACAGAAAGTTTAATTTCTAGTTTTATCGTCTTTAAAGTTTATTTTGTGATACCCGTTCTTGGAAGTAGTATAAATAACGTAAACGGAAATAACCTCTCGTAATCACAATGAAGCTGAAAATAGATCCAAATTGAAATCGTGTTTTTTTTTACAGGTAAATCGCTTGTTTTGTTATCCAAAAATATGTGAAAATTTGTTAACAAATATTTTGTTGGATGTAGAATATTCTATTGTTTCTTAAAGTATAAATTTATGCATATTTTTCTCAATACAATAATTAAGATTAAATGTCTTAGCAAATCTTTGGGTCATCTGTTTGTCCCTAAATAATTTAGGTGAAAGTCCAATATGTAACACTGTGATACGAGTCAATAATTAAACCTAAAAGTTTAATATAGAATGACACAAGCTTATCTCAGAAAGGTGCCAAAACTGGACCTTATATAAAAACCAGTTCTGTTATTCCAAGTAATATTTCTGTAATACCATTGTCCACGGTAAGTTTTGTCTGATTTTAAGATATATATGAAACGAGGTTTAAAAACGTGACAGACATTACTGAGACCAATTTTGTTTCTCGTTATTATTGTACTATCTTAACAAACAACAGGTTTATTTAAACTAAATATTTAAATTTCTTGCTTAACTAATTATACTGTTTACAATAAAACTTGCAGAAAAGTGAATGCTTTGTGAATAAGGAGGGCACATATCCTTTCATTAATTCAAGTTGTGTCACGTGGACCGGCTAAAAACAAGTCAGTTGGCTTTAGCTACACAATTCTAAAATACCATTGTCATTTTACTTTATTAAACTTACGTCATACATTTTGCGTGCAAGTTTTTACGTTATTACTAGGTTGTAATAATGGGGATCAACATACACCTGTTTGTTCTTATTTTATGGATTTAATCCAACGTATGTCATTGATTTTATAACCGAGAATCACACATTAAAATATATATCTTATTGAAATTAAAGATAATATTACGAAAATTTTAGGCAATCCAAAACTCCAACGTTTATAGTGAATTACAGAATAAGTGTAGACGTACAGTTATTAATATTTTAATGAAAACCGTGAGTGAAATTTCTGATGATTAAAGTTCTTAAAAACACTGCTTTGTCCAATAACGTGTTTAACGTTTTTGTGTGTGTCTGATTTGGTTGTGACACGTCCGTCATTTACTGGGGTGTGTGTGGGAGTTCGATTTATTTTGATATATATATATATATGTATATTAGTGTTATTCTTCATATAACCATTAAATAACTTTTTTTTTATAAAAAAAAGATTGATTTTAGAACTCCAGGTAGATGTGGCGAAACAAACAGACGATTTTATAGTAAGTATTTAGAAATACTCACGTTTCAGTAACGTAACGTTTGACGTCAGCATTTCAAGAACACGTTGAGGAAGACTTTGGAAGGCCTCGTCTGATGGCGCAAATACAGTGTAGGTACCGTCTGAAGTTTGAATAAAAAACATACCTCAAAATAACTAAGATATAACATGAATTTTCATGTATGCAATAATATTAATAAAACGTTAGTAACATATGTTTATTTGTCAATTTATTTTCTTCACCAAAATGTGAGTTTCAGTGGAAAAAAAAAACGAAGTAGAGGCTTAATATATTCAACGCTTCACTATTTTCACTGCAACGGACTAGTTTTTGCCGACTTCACAGCTCATTAGTGCTGCCCAGAAGAACAAAGCAAATAAATTAAAGTAGGCCTCATATAGTGGTGAACTGTAAGTAGTTTGCCTGGTTTAGATGTATAGTTCGTTACTCACATACGCGCTATTGTCATCTTAAGGGTTAAAAAGGGTAAAGTCGCGCATGCGTTCTATAATCGAGAGGAAACATGAGCAAAAGGTTACAAGTCAACAGGTTGCTGATAACTTACTTATCTAACGTTAAAACGTATTTTATCAGTAGTCATTTTTCAATAAACAAGCAATTTATATATTTTTTTCAATTTTGTTTTAAAATTTTGTCTGTCTGGATCACGTGACGATAACGACAGACTATATAAACTGTACAGTTGAACATACCTGTCAGCTCCTTGTCAACGCCAGCAACTTCCAGGAGGCGGTAGAGTTGGTTCTGAGTCCACTTGGTTTGTCCAACCAGATCCATGGATGGAACAGGATAAAGCACTCGGTCGATGGCATACACGGCATTGTTCTCAAACCGCCCATCAGGATTCACAACTTTTGCGCCATTAACAGTTATCATCTAACAGTAAAAGGCCAGAAAGTCAAAATCAGTTCCTCATGCAAGATCACGAATAATGTGATGTTATAACACATAAAAATTATGGTTGTTTTAATAGATAACAAGCAAACAAAAATAGCATTCACGAATAATAAAATAACAAAAAGATGGGTGAATAATGCATGGCTTACACGTGCAGGTCAAACATCAGCCTAAGCTAGATATATATATATATACCTATGTTTGATAACTTTTGTTTTAAATATTATTCATTTTGAGAAGTAATGCACACGATTTTTTGCTTACTTTTTCACTTTTGTTTAAAGTATGTATTATTTCTTACTGTACTTACGTTCATGATTGGCAAAAGTATTATTAACATTACAGTATCTTTTTATTGCACATAATGAATTTGCATACAATCTAAAAGGGATTGATGTACGATATGTTGTTTTGTTGTTAATTCAGCACATTCAATTGGCCTTTTAAATCAATATTCAGCAAAAAACACATTAAATTGCTCGTTAAATTCTACATTATCAAAAATACATTTGATTATTCATTTAAATTCCTATTTACTAAAAATGCATCTGATTCCATTAAATTCACGTATATTAAAAACACATCTTATAGCCCATTCAAATCAATATTTGGTAAAAACAAATTCGGTTACACATTTAAATTACTGTTTAGTAAAAACACATTCGATTGCCCATTAAATCAATGTTTAATAAAACATGTTTGATTACCCATTAAGTTCATTTTTAGTTAAACACATTTTATTTCCCATTTAAATTCATGTTTGATATAAAAAAAATATTTGATTACGAATTTAAATTCGTATTTAATAAAGACACATTTGGTTGCCCTTGAAATTCATTAAATTAATGTTTAATAAAGACACATTTCATTACGAATTTAAATTCATGTTTAGTTAAAATTAATTACAATTTAATTTAAGTGTAAAACATGTTTTAAAAATGTTTAAACTACAGTCATGTGGCATGTTTGTCGACAGCTGGTTTTTATATTACAAAATATACACAATTTCAAATGCTGAACTAATTTCTGATGAAACGATTTATATTAGGATATGGTCTCACATAACCACAAACAGTGTATAATTTCTTAACCAAATAGATAAAAAGAAACTCTTATCTTGATTGTAATTCTACTTTATTTTCTCTACATTGATTTTTTAATCATTAGATGAATAGTGAACGTTGTTTAACGTTTCCGGTTTGTGCTGTAACAAGAAATTGTGATTATAATTATTATTGTCATCAAACATTAGAATTAGGCCTATTACATTTAAAGCGCTTTATTATTTACCTAGTCCCTTTGGACAGTACATAAATTAAATAAATAGGGTTCCCGCCACTTCTATGTTTGTTGTGTCCCAGCCTAAAGACCTCTGGATTGAGCAAAATGCGCCGTCAACAATATATATATATGGCAAATATAGAGTGGCTGAAATACTATTATTATACACTCTTACAATTCGTGAAAAATCCCTAACGGACTGGATAAAGATTGTAGTGTTTAATAATATGCTAGGCCTAATTCTAATTTCTTTTGAGAAGTATAATTATAAACTTTCTTCAGCGTCTTGTACACGCCATAAGAATAACATATGATTGTTTATTTTACTGTCAAATTTACATTGTAATTTCCTTTTTCCACAACTCCATTGTTTCTTTGAAAACATATACTTACTTTTCTCCTCAAAGTTAAATATAATGATATCTAAAAGTACATGTTATAAAAATAAGATACTTGACAAACAACGAGCACGACGAAAATGTCTTAAACTAATTTTATCTACAGAATCAATAATCGATTTTCACGGGGATAGAAAATTAATGCATTGACCATGCACAGAAAATTCTGTTTTTCAATATTCCAAATACTGAAGGTTTTTATTTTAACAGGAAATTATGTACTTTTAAACGGTTAATATTATATTTTTCTCTTTATTCTATCATTTCTACAATAAACTTAAGTGCGAAATGAATATCGCAAACCACAGTGGTACTTATAAAGAAAAGTTTAAGCCGACAAAGATGTTTATAAAGGAACGTTTCAAACTACAAGGGTATGTATCAAGGAAAGTCTAAAGCCACAAAGGTATTTATGAAGAAAAGTTTCAACCCACAGTGGTATATATAAAGGAAGGTCTCAAACTACAAGGTTATTCATAACGGAAAGCCTCAAACAGCTAGATTATTTATAAAGGAAAGTCACAAGTCACATGGGTACTTATAAGAAGGTCAAAAGCCACAACAGTATTTGTAAAGAAACTTCGCAAACCACAATAAAGGAAGGTCGCTAACCACAAGGGTATTTAGAAAAGAAAGCTGTAAACCACAAGAGTATTTAGAAAAGGAATTGTCAAGCTCCAAGGGTAGTTATGAAGGAAAGTCGCAAACCACGATGGTATTTATAAAGAAAGGTCCTAAGTCATAAGTGCATTTATAACTGAAGATAGCAAGCCAGAAGATAAATAAACATTGCAAACCACAACGATACTCATAAAGGAAAGCTGCAAACTACAAGGATATTTATAAAGGAAGGTAATAAGTCACAAGGAAATTTATAAAGGAAAGTCGCAAACCACAAGTGTTTTTTTTAGAAGGAAAAGTCGCTAACCACAGTTTTTATTTTTAGAAGGGAAAGTCGCAAACTATAAGGATACTTATTAAGAAAACTTACAAACCACAAGGGTATTTATAACGGAGGTTGCAACCCACAAGGGTATTTATAAATTTATAAAAGAAAGTTGCAAACCTTACGAGTATTTACAAAAGAAAGTTTGTAAGCCACAAGGATGCTTATAAGGGAATGTCGCAAACCAAAAGGGTATTTATAACATAAGGTCACAAAACCTATTGGTATTTATAAAGGATAATCGCAAGTCACAATGGTATGTATAAAAGAAAATCGCAAACCACAAGGATATTTATAAGGAAAATTGCAAACCACAAGGATATTTATAATGGAAAATTTCAATCCACAAGAGTATCTATAAAGGAAAGTCGCAAATCACAGTTGTACTTATAAAAGAAGGTCGCACACTATAAGAGTATTTATAAGGGAATGTCGCAAACTACAATGGTATATATTAAGAAAGGTGGTTTCTGTAGGTATTGGGCACCTTAAAATCACTCAAATTGTACTGTATATTTGTTTGTTCGTATTTGTGCATGAAGCTACAAAATGAGCAATCTGTGCTCTGCCCCCACGGGTATCGAAACCTGGTTTCTAGCGTTGTAAGTCGGCAGAGTACCGCTGTGATTGTGTTTGTGTGTTGAGCTATTGTGGAATAATGGGGAAGTTATGAGGCTGACGAGTATAAGTACCATCAAATCAATAACGAACGATGCAACGTTCTTATCATGGGAAAAGCATACATATTCAGCTCAGCTAAATGTGTTAACCTGGAAAAAGAAATCACTTAACAGCGCTATCAATCTACAGGACTTCACATCTCGATCGTTCACGTTTTGGACGAGAGCCAAGCGGGTGAGAGAAAGTAGGGCTCGTTAAAGTAGGTCACTATTTTGTCCAGAACAATATAATTTTGCAGTGTGATAAAATGCTTTACAGGATGAAATGTTTGATTAGTTTTTATAAAAAAGAGTCTCTGTAGCCGTCCAGTTTTCCAGCAACTTTATAACAGTGCGGATTTCTACCAATCAAAACTCTGTAGGTTAGGAGGCTATTGTGGAGTAATTTTTATTAAATACGCCCACGTAATGCGAATTCATATGATAGTAAATTAAATACTTTATGAGAGCTCGAACATGTTAGAAAGCTGAATGACCACAAACATTATGTGTAAATATGTATATAGCAATGCTATTGTATAAAGGAAGGCGTTTGCACACACACACACACACACAAAACAACAACAAACAAAAAAAACAGACAAATCTCTTACTTAAAACTATATAAAGCACCACTGGGTGGCGCTTCTTTCTAACGGCAGATCTAGAGAGATAAAAGCTGGCTAATATAGATCAAAGCTGAGGATATGGACTGTTATGGTATAGATTTTATTGCGTTCGTATGCTTTTCTCCGTCATCTGCATTTAGTAAGTTTTTACGAAATATTAAACAACTCTTTCATTATCTTGGTATCGCGCTGAATAAGTAACCCAAAATGTATTAATCTCCTGCGATTGACAATTATGACGAAAATGTATTTCGTTTTACAATATTAAACAGCATTGTTGTGTTATTGTTATAGTATCTATCCCTACAGTTATCCGCACTCGGTTTCAATAATAATTTTTAGCCATATCACTTATTTCACAGCTACTTTTTTACGTGGTTAGTATTTAGATAGCCAACACAAATATTGATTTATCAAACTCTGAATGTTTACATTATATTTGTTATGCAAACAATTATGATAAACTTGCTACGATTGAATCATTCAATTATAAACAATGACTATACAAAAACTAGGCCTAGTTGTCAAGTTTATCAGGCTGAAGCCCGAGTTACTCTCTTATTTTAAGTCAATAAAATGTTCTCATGATCCTTCTCTATTTTTTAATTGGATCAAGATCAGATATCGTATAAACTGTCGTACAGCTTATGTTACTTCAATTAGGTATAGACTGAACTGCGTTTATTACATTCTCTCGTTCTAACAACTGTTTTTTTTTGTTCTAATATTTAACATAATAATCCTAAAGTTGGTTAATATAATTGTTAAAAAGGAATATTAACATCTTTATTTCTTGAGATAAAAATCATAAAAATAGAATCTAGATTTTAGTTTTTTTTCTATAAACAAAACATAGAATATTGTAGAGAAGTAGTAAGCATTTTGGTGATCATACCTAAACTCCCTTTTTATTCCAAAACAACAAAAACATAACTAATGAATTTGTAATAAACTTTATCTACAGGGTGTCCGAAAAGTCTGGAACCATAGGTGATTTGCAGCTTGGAAGTCCGACTTTGGTTGAATGACATCTTCCCGGGACATCCGATTGGCAGACATGCTCTACAGGAATGGGCCCCAAGATCTTCGGGCTCGACTCCCATGGATTTCTTTTTCTGGGGACTGCTCAAGTACGTGTGTACAAAGAGAATGTTAGAGACACCGAACATCTGAAACACTGAATTCGTGACGAGTGTCGGACCATTGACAATGACCCGAAAATGCTTCACAGTGTTCAAAGAGAACAGAAATACCATTTTCAAATTTGTTCCGAATTACAAGGACAACATGTGGAACACATACTGTAAAATTCATTGAAGTGCCTATGGTTCTCGATTTTTCGGACACCCTGTGTATATAATGTTGTACGAATTACAAACTGTTAGGAGTTACATAAGAAATGACATTATTAGTACTTGAAATGGATAATATAAAACGGCCTAACATCAGTGCTAACGTAGAAAAACAGACTTTTTTTTATTATATTTGCAAGAGCTGATTGTTATTAAGATCACAAATAAAACTGAATTAAAAGCGAAAGTTTTATTTGAATCTCGGGCAAACCTACACGAGGGCTATCTGCGCTAGTCGTCCCTAATTTATCAATGAAAGACTAGAGGGAAGGCAGCTAGTCATCACCACCTAGCGCCAACTCTTGGGCTACTCTTTTACCAACGAATAATGGGATTGACTGTAACATTATAACGCCTCCACGCCTGAAAGGATGAGCATGTTTTTTGGGACGGGGATTCGAACTCGCAACCCTCAGATGCGAGTCTAGCGCCCTACCCACCTGGTTATGTAAGAGTAAAAGAAAAGTTTATATGAAATAGGTATATATATATATATATTCATAGTTTTATTACTGTTTGTAATTATCTCCAATTAAGAAAGTCAAGTACAACTATGATTGAAGATAATTACTGCAAATAGAGAGTAGTTTAAACAACGACACCTTTACAACAGACGTGTAGCAATCAGACAAATAAAAAACAATTAATTGAATTTACACTAAAAATGTCAATACACCTATTCTAGTTATATAATCACAAGAAGTGAATTTATATTTTGCTGAAACTTATTTACAGTGTATATAAACTTATTTAATAATGTAATAAAGATAAAAAGAAACTATTATGTTACAGAAGATTCTAGAAATTGATCGGCCATGTATGTTTAAACAACAACAACAAAAAATTAATGAAGACTGTTATAAAGATTTAACTTGAACTAATTCTGAATTATAAACTTAAGTCGTGTTAATAGTTTTAACCTTACTACCTCCTATTAATAAGGTCCAGCATGGCCAGGTGGTTAGGGTGCTCGACTTGCAATCTGAGCAGGCCCCAAGAACTCACTCACTAACAACAAAACGAACTGATACAATCTATTTTAAAGTACAGTATTTTGTTAATCTCACTAGATCGTTTTAATATTTTGTTAATCTCACTACATCGTGTTAATATTTTGTTAATCTCACTACATCGTGTTAATATTGTGTTAATCTCACTAAATCGTGTTAATATTGGGTTAATCTCACTAAATTACGTTAAAATTTTGTTTTAATCTCACTAAATAGTGTTAATATTTTGTTAATCTCACAAGATCGTGTTAATATTTTGTTAATCTCACTACATCGCGTTAATGTTTTGTTAATCTCACTACATCGTGTTCATATTGTGTTAATCTCATTAAATTACGTTAATATTTTGTTAATTTCACTAAATCATGTTAATATTTTGTCAATCTCTCTACATCGTGTTAATGTATTGTTTTTCATACTACATCGTGTTAATACTTTGTTAATCTCATTGTATGGCTCATAAGAGAAAGGTGCATAGTTTCAAATTCGCAAGTGTTAGTTACCTCTCCGTAGACGTTGAATCTAATGGGTGTTCCTTGCAAACTATCTTGCACTATTTCATTCTGAATTGATGACGACTGCAGTGCACCTGGTATAATGTGATAAAGAAGGAACTCCCTTAGCTTTTCGGGATTCTTGGTGATCTGTTCTAGAACTCCACCCGGGACCAGAGCAAATGCTTCGTCATTTGGGGCGAATATGGTAAAAGTTCCTGAGGAATAGAGAACGGATGAGCGAGCTTCCACGTACGGTAAAACAATTGGGTTCAATGAATAAATGGCTGTGAAGCAATCAGTATCATGTAACAATATAGATAAATCAAGAAGATCCAAGAATGAAAATAACAAGTTAGCAAACTAACAACATTAAAAAACTATGGAAAAAAGCACCTTCCATGTTTAAAGTTAAACGTTTTTCTGAAAAATCTGATATCTAGAGAATGTTTTTAACAAGAAAAATCAATGAGTCCTTTATGTGTTTAGTGACAGAGCAGGACCCAAGGACTCACTCACTCACTAACAACAAAACGAACTGATACAATCTATTTTAAAGTACAGTATTTAACAAAGGACACTGTAGCTTGTTCTCGGTTTTTCAGTTGTACCAAAGATCGTCAGTTTGTTAGATAGGTGCAACTTTTTATTTGGCCAGGGTCATGAATCTGGTGACACGGTCATGGCTAGTTTTGTACGTGATATGTGCAATGTAGCTATTACAGACAATTCTTATGGGGAAAACTAGTGTGAACTTGATGGCTTACCTGTGGACGATAATACGTCATCTAGCTGAGCTGAACGAAGATATTTACACATCTTGTTCAGCCCTAGTCCTACTAAAGTCTCATAGAGTTGTTCGAACCGTCCTGTTGATCTTCTTATACGGGAAAGTACGGGAAACCAAAACTGGTAGTCATATTGGATTTCCTAAAATAAAGTCACAGTTAATTAAAATCCAAGTAGCTTATTTTGATTCAGATACTAAGAAATACATTAGTGTATAGAAAACGCTGTGAATGGGAAGAAAAAAACAACAACAACAGATGCTAATGACGTCAAGAACAAGACGTTTCTAAAAGTGTTCCATGCTCAGCTGTTATTGTACATAACTCAATAATTGTATAAAATAGAGATTAAAATTATGTCACGAGGTTGCGATTATATAAAATCTATATCCATTGACAAAGCTATTTCCTAGCTTAGACCTAATTTACATTAATAAATTGTTTATAAACCTACTTTACATTATTAAATTTTTTTCTAGACCTACTTTGAATTATTGAATTGTTTTTTAGATCTACTTTATATTATTAAATTGTTTATAGACCTACTTTACATTATTAAATTGTTTTTTAGGCCTACTTTACATTATTAAATTGTTTTTAGGCCTACTTTACATTATTAGATTGTTTTTTAGATCTATTTTACATTATTAAATTGTTTTTTTTATTCTTCCGTTAATCAAGTTTTAATTATATTATTTGCTTCCTTGACCGGTAGTTGCTGTTTAAAGAATGTTGCTGCTTAAAGATGCTTTTTTTTTAAACTCGATTTAAAGCAGTTTGAATAGGAAACTAGAGCAAAACCCGACAATATCATTAAATTTTACCTCGACACAAATATAACAGAAAGAAAACAACAAAAAGTATTTGTAAAAAATAAAAAGCAAAGAACTTTCGCACTTTCCTGGATTTTACAGGGAGGGCGTGACTTAGCGTCACCAAAATGGCTGTTTAGAAAACAGTGCCATGGTAACGCAACTTTTCAAGAAACATACCACTTTCTCAGATGAAACAAAAGAAACTTTTACCTTTTCCTTGGCTTTGTCTTCAAATTCAGTTGGAGCATAATCAGCGTTTCCATGACGATGAGCTTCTATCCGTTCACTTGCAATTACCTTTAGGTTTTCAGTGTCATCTCTGATATAAGACAAGCCTGTACAAAAATATCCAAGAAGAATAAACTATTATCTTTAACCGCTTAACGGTTTAAGAAACATTAGCATATAAATTCATAAGCGCCCCTATCGGTGACATAGAGAAACATACACAACTGTGGATTGCAAACACGATATTTTTTGTTTAGAAACATCGATACAAAATTCTCCTATGATCTAGGCTTACAAAAAATAACATCTTCCGTACTTTGGTGATCTATACCTGTGACTGTTAAATCGTACAGTTTGATTAGAATGATAGAAGAGTTGGTGATGGGTGCTGAATTTAGATTATCAGTTCAAATTTGGGTACGGCTAACCCTTGTGTAGCTTTGCGCGAATAATCGAAACAAACCAAAACTACTTCTTTTAATAACAACAGCCAAACAAACAAATTACCTATCCTCGAATCACTTATAGTTAAGTAATAGTGATAAAATTTAGTTTATTTGCATTTCCTACATCAGTACTTCATTAGCCATCTACATGACGCTCCTATGCAATGCCCCCTAGTGGTTCGGTAGTAAGTCTGAATGCTTATAACACTAAAAACAGGGTTTCGATACCCGTGGTGGACACAGCACAGATAGCCTATTGTGTGGCTTTGTGCTTAACTACAAACAAATCCTATGTAACTTTATTTAAAATTACTAAGACAAAATTAGAAATTATTGTGCTATTTTAGTTTCTTGAAAATGTATCCTGTTATTTCTACTTCGTGTAATTTTTAATTTCTATTTTTCGTCTTCAGATCTTGCAGTTCCCATATATCATTTAATATGATGTTGCAGTTCCAATGCATCGCCAAACTTGTTCGCCCTTTCATCTGTGGGGCGTTATAATGTGACATTAATCTCACTATTTGTTGGTAAAGAGTAGCACAGGAGTTAGTAGTGGGTGGTGTTGACTAGCCACCTTCCATCTAGTCTATCATTTCAAAATGAAGAACGACCAGTGCAGATAACCCTCAGTTAACTTTGTGCAAAATCCAACAAAGATAATAAATACGAAAATTAATACGGACATTAAAGGATCGAGAAGCAGCTTCGAAACATGGCATGACTGATATAAAACACTTCACTTGAGTAATAAACTTTACAAAATCTAGATATTGCGTAAAACCCACTAAATAATATAGACATGTTCAAATTTTAAATACTATTTTAGTTAAGGTTTGATTGTTTGTAATTAAGCACAAAGCTACACAATGGGCTATCTGTGCTCTGTCCACCACGGGTATCGAAACCCGGATTCTAGCGTTGTAAGTCCGCAGACATACCGCTGTGCCACTGGGGGCATTTAGTTAAGGAATATTATTCAACAAATTCAAATATTCGCTAATTCAGCCACACTCCCTAAAATTTGTTTGTTTGTTTTGAATTTATGCACAAAGCTACACAATGGGCTATCTGTGCTCTACCTACCACGGGTATCAAAACCCGGTTTCTAGCGTTGTAAGTTCGCAGACATACCGCTGTCCTAAAATTTGTATTTGATTTACTTTTCATGTGGATAATACTGCGCAAAAGAAATCTGAATATTTTTCGAAACAACTGCTTGATATATATGGAGAATACAACAACGAAACCATTATTTTTTTAAGGTTGATTCTTAACTCAGCTCTCCTAGAACCAATTCTATGTTTTTTAATCTGAGAATATAGTTAGTATGTTTAATTTATTTATAAAAGACTTTAATAAACAGCGAAACCTTCAACACGATTTACAATAGAAACTACTAATGTATAATTAAGTAGAGGCTCTTTACAGAATTGTAATAATTGCTATCAGAGTGTCCTTGTAATATTCGCAACTATATATTTATATATGCCCATTCAATTCTGTGTCACGAAAAGAATGGACAAAATGAGAAAATTTGGTTCTTTATCATTTATAGATGTTTATCCAAGTCTTGTTATTTTCTGATAAAACAGATGCTTAATTATCAAGTTTCATATTCATGGGCATGTGAAAGTGTAGCAGGGTGGCCTTCTGAATATTTTACTGAACAATCTGCTAAAATGAAACACGCCTGCGTGATTCAGTTAACAAACACAAAGAAGGAACGACTGGTTTTACGTTGCTAATAATGCTGCTTCGTGACTTACTATTCATTTGGTGTGTTCGAGGAAATGACCTTATACCTGCCGTTATTACCATGCTCCAAATAAATTAAGAGAGTTATATACGTCGTTTTACACCAAGAAAAACAAAAAGCTTGTTTTGTTTGTAAGTGAAAACTACTCACAACCACAGTTATGGTGTGTTGTAACACACCAAGATATTTGATGAAAACTCTCGTCATCAGTCAGGTTATAAGAAGTGGGACATGTTAGAAGAATAGATAACTTTCTGATAATATCGTTAAAATACATTGATATAATTAAAACAGAAACATGAAAAACTGAAGTGTGGAAAAGTACAAATAAGTCAAACTGGTAATAAATGTTTCTCTCAAGAACTAAGCTAAATCAGTATTAAAGCAACTAATTAATAAAATGGTTATAACAAAGCTGAAACAAATAACAACTGCACAGTACAGCCTAACACTTGTGGAGAAAGTTTCGGGAAGTAATCAACAAAAGTGGTGCACATAGAAAGGACTTTTGTTTGTTTGTTTGTCATAAAGAACACAGGCCTGTGATGTTTTCATTGTCTTGAAATTTTTACATGTTCTACAGTAATTCATGTACGCTGAATCCGAAAATGATATCCATTTTTATCCATCATGTACAGGTTTTTCACAAAACGCCATAACGAAATACATTAAAGAAAGACTACAACACGTAATTTTGAGACTAAAAGACGTAGATTTCACACACAAAAAATCAGGGTGAATGAGGGTGCATATTTGTTTGACATCAATGCTCTTCGCTTTTCTTCAGTTTGTTTGTACTTTTGTTAACAAATATAATAATAAAAAATGTTCATTGTGGTAAATGAAATAATAATTTGATCTAAGTTAGAGTTTTTTCTTTCCGATTTGTAAAAAATCCTTACGTGATAGAAAAAAAATCTACGTAAGTGAATTATAGAAAATCCATTTTTAAAACCAGAACAACTTTTACGAAGTTTAATTTCGCAGATCCGTGTTATCAGAATAATTCAACTACAAAAGAATAAATCGATGCAATGGTTGCTTTCACTCAATAATGAAAACAAATCCCTACTGGTTTGTTTGTTTGTAATTAAGCACAAAGCTACACAAAGGGCTATCTGTGCTCTGCCCAGCACAGGTATTAAAACCCGATTTCTAGCGTTGTAAGTCCGCAGACATACTGCTGTGCCACTGGGGGACAATCCATACTGGACTAAAGATGGTAATTGAATGAAATGGTTGTTTTCACTCAAGAACTAAGACAAGTTCATTTTGGACCAGATATATGTGACGATTAAATGTAATGTTCATTTTCACTCTAGATGTTTTCATGGTGAACATGTTAATAAAATGAACTTATTTCTATTAGTTAAAGCCAAAACAAGAACAAAAACCATAGTTTCTTAATTTCATTGTATAATTAATTTAACTACTGCGTTACTTCATGGGATCTTCTAATTTCGGGTTTATCTCACTATTTAAACAAGTCAAAAACGGCGTCTTTCAAACTGAAGTTAATCTTCCCACTACCGAAGAATTCACGCAGTTTTACAGCTATAGGTTCCCCAGTGAGTCAGCGCTAAATTCACGGACTTACAACGCTAAAATCTGGGGTTCGATTCCCCGTGGTGGAAAAAGCGCTTATTTTGTAGATTTGCGCTAAGGACAAACAAACATAATGATAGTATCTTCCTGTTATTAACTTGTGTTGACAGGAAAATTCATAAGTGAGCTCTCCAGATGTGTCATGTTTCATTATTCCGTTGGAGTGTTACATTTCCAAATCATTTAACCGAAATGAAGGTATCACACCAATAAACTACCCAATTTATTCACCAGGGGCCAGACTTGGTTTGATAGTTAGGACACTAACTCGTAATCTGAGGGTCGCGAGTTCGACTCCCATCACCGAACATGCCCGCTCTTTCGGCAGCGGGAGCGTTGTAACTAGATGGTCAATCACCATTTCGTTGGTAAAGAGCAGCCTAAGCGTTGGTACTATTGACTGTCTTCTTCCCTTTTGTCTATCACTTTTAATGTGCGCGAAATTCAACAAATAAACAAATCAGTTCCAAACTAGTTATCTTCTGTTGCAACACATCAACTTGGCAACAAATCAGTTCCAAACTAGTTATCTTCTGTTGCAACACATCAACTTAGCAACAAATCAGTTCCAAACTAGTTATCTTCTGTTGCAACACATCAACTTGGCACTATACATTAATAAAATAATAAAATAACGAAAATCGCATTATATACGTATTTAGATATTTTCCCTAAATGTTGGCAGATAAATAGAATAACTAGCAGGGAGTAAAAGCTTTTTCAGTTTTTTTCATAACAGATGAAACGTTTTAACTAGCACATGGAGATAGCAATAGCTTTTTCAACCACAGAAATCTTTTCAAGAAGCTTTCCGAAAACGATATTACAATGATGCTTGCTTAATCTAAGTGTAATCTCACGCTCATAAGAATATCGACTATCTCTATGCCTAAGTAATAATTAGATGTAATGCACTGTCTATACATACATATATATATATGTGTGTGTATATTATGAATGCAGCTGAGGCACTGCTTATATTTGTAAACTTACTATATAACACAGCGAAACAAATTTGAAGAAAAGTAAAACCACAAAAACGACAACAAATAATGAGTTGAATATTAACCACGACATCTTTGATTTTGAAAAATTTACAGGTCGTAGTTATGTTATTATAATGGAGCTTGCGATGTATACGTTCAAAACTCGGGTCTCGAAAACTACCGCACCGATCATCATCAATCATAACTGGATAATATTTGTATAACTAGGCAGTATTTTATAGGTGAGCAATAAATAAAACAATTGAAACTTCCACAAAAATGATATGTTTCAAATTTACCCAATAAAAACTACAAACAAAAAGGAATAACTTTCAAATTTAACCAATAAAAATTACAAAAAAGGAGTAAATTTCAGATTTAACCAATAAAAATTACAAACAAAAATGATATATTTCAGATTTAACCAATAAAAATTACAAAAAAGAAGTAAGTTTCAAATATAAAACAATCAAAAACAAACTTAAAAAAAATGTTTTTTTCTTTAGTGAAAATATCATGAGTGTTGCAACAGAAAAGTAAGACACTTTCATTGATAACTGCGTCTACAAAGAAATACTTCAATAAAATCTACTCTGTGATGTAATGCTATAATGATAGCTTATTTCTAAAGAAAAATTTCAATAAAATCCTTTTTCTCATGGATGGTGAACGTTATTGAATGTCAAGTATGAGTACAATGTTGTATAACCGTCAGACAATTCCAGAAAAAGTCGCAGGCCTAATAACCTTCCGCAGGAACTAGCAGTTATACCTGCCCGGAGGGTGGGTATTTCTACTAGTATCAGTAACCATTGAATTAGTTTACGTGTTAATGAATACAATTTTTTAATTAACAAGAAGATGAAACATACAACTAGGTAAATGAAACTGGTAAGTTAAACTATTGTTAATAAATCTTAATTAATACATATACAGAAACTATGTTATTATTTACCTATTATTGTGTAACTTCTTAATTATATATACTAGAAACTATAGTCTATTATTTACCTAGTTATTGT